TTCGTATGATAATATGCTTGCTGTAATACATTGATCGATAAGTAGAACCTGATAAAACTCTCTACATTTTATTATATAATATATTCTCTATAAATCTGAAAAATTAAATGTTGGCAAGTATTGTTACTTCAATTCTAGGCCATTGAGTATCCATTTGGCTTCAAAAAGATGAGTATTAATGAGTACTTTCCAAAGTAATATCATATCACATATCAAAATAAGGCATAGACTTTATATTATTTAGTCTTTTATCTATACTTTTAATACAGCTGGCATTAAATCCCTACGTTCTTTTCTTATTTTTGACGTACCTACACAACAATAGAACTGTAACTGTAATTAAAACAAATACTTCACTATTTGCTGTTGTCAAAGGCTTTAATTTATAATAATCTCGGTTCTCCTGAAGCAATATAAATACATGAAATTCCTGGCTAATTGGCAAAGGAACTGCAGTCGAGCATGTGTGTACATCATTAGGGGGGAACAGCCAGGATGGCCAGGATAGCCAGGATAGCTGGGATAACCAGGATATTGTTGGGACAACTTGTGTACTGTGTGTATGATGACCTCCCAGGCATTCCTGCAGCACCAGGTTCTGGTAAATGGTATATCTGTTATCTGGTTATGCCACCCAACTCGATCCAGTTGTACTTACATGTGACATGGTATCATGGCATCATGGTATCTATGACGACGCTAACAAGGTGGACAATTGGCCCAAGTCGATTCCTGTAAATAAACTGCATAGAAAGTGCACGCAATTCACGAATGCCAAACAAATAAACAAACGAACACAGAGCGCTTAGTGTGTGTGTGTATATAAGCTATATGCATTTCCAATATCAGCCAAGGATATTCGGCTGCGCTAAGTCCACATGACCTTCTAAAGTTGGTTGACTCTAGATGCCATGCAGGCGCGTCTGCAAAAGGGGGTGTGCTTTTTCGGGGGTGTGAAATCGGGGGGAGGGTGGCATATTATTTTCTGTTTTTTTTCCTCTTTTTTTTTTGATTAAGCAACTGCGAACTGCAGAAATTGTGCAGTGCAATTTGTGAAGAGCCTATGGGCTATGATGCAAGCATTTTCGCAGAGCAGAGACACCGAGAGAATTGCCGAGAGAAAATGAGACAGGGAGAGACAGGCGGAGAGAGAGAGAGAGCAAAGCTCTGGGCCATGTGCACTTGATGCACAAGTGTTAGATGCCATTCGTGGGCCAAGAGCAGCAACAACAGCAACAACAGCAGCAACAACAGCCAAAGCTGCCCCAGCAGCAACACTAGTAAAAACGGCAGCAACATAACCCATAGCCGATGTCACAGTAGCTGCAACACCAGAAAAAACAGCAGCAACATTGGCCCAAACAAGAGCAACATCACTTTGGTACTGGTCAAAAACATAAGCAACTTTGAAGTACTTATTCTCCTTTTCTCTAAAATGTATAGCATACCATAGATTTTTCATTTAGTTGTTAGGTTAAAAAGTCTATTTAACTAATAAATTATTAAGTTAATAATGTTTGTAATCGACATTTTAAAGATTGATTAATATAAAAAAGCATATCACAACTAATAAATCTAATTTTGTAATTTAAAAATGTATGCCTTCAAGTGTTTTTTCCCAGTGTGCCAGCAAGCTTTTAAAGGCAGCCAGGAAAACCCACATAACAATCTATATGTTGCCGATGTTGCTGCTGTTTTGCAGAGCTCGTGGGCTCTTGTTTTCGATTTCTGTTGCTGTTTCGGTTTCGATTAGTGTGTTAGTTGGGTTTCTTGAGCAGTGTCTCTCTGCCAAGCTCTCCGCTGTTCTCAGTTCTCAGTTCTCAGTTCTCGGGGTCTCAGTTCTCGATTCTCAGTTCTCTGGGTCTCTGGGGCTGTGGGGCTCTGGGTCTGCTTGACAATTTCGCTACGCGGCTGTTTTGGTGGCTGCCAGTTGCACATTTCCGTTATATCCGTCAGCCAGCAGTGGCAGTCGCAGCCAAGGCGCACACACACTGCGTATGAGTAATATTCGCACAACGAAACCAAACAACCAAGCCAAATACAACAATATACATAGCAAAAAAATCCCCAATTAATCACGCAACACAATAATCAAAGAAAAGTCAAAGCCAATAAATGAAATGAAATAAAATAAATTCAAAAAAATAAAAAAGAAATAAAAAAAAAAAGAGTAAGGTGAGAGGGGAGCAAGTGCAGCGCTGCCAACGGCGACGGCGACGCGGCAGCGGTACGGGCTTTGTTTTGGCTTCAGTTTTGGCCCAGCAGCTTCGACTTCAGTTCGATTCGTGATTCGTGGTTCGTAGCTCTTAAGGCGCGCAAAGAAAATCTCGAGAAAAACTGCAGAACACCATAAACCCATATATTTATTTTTTTGGAGTGAGTTCTAGACTTGCAAGCAAGTGCGGCAAGCAATGTGGTTACCACGTAGATTACCACCCGCAGTAGTGGGCCAATGAAAAGCAAAAAATCAAAAATCAAAAAAAAAAAGAGTTCAAAATCGGGCTGAAGAAAAGAAGTTGGCAAGCCGAAAAATCAAAAATCAAAAAAAAACAGGAGCCCCCAAGACGTCACGCAAACAACAACAACAACAACCAGCTATGCCTGGCCCGGCTTTGTGGTCCGGTGAGTGTTTTTCTTTTTGTTTTTTTCTTCCCCCTTGCAAAAAACTAAATCTCAAAGTTGCTCACTCTCTCTGTCTCTTTTGGGAGAGCGATCGCAGCAAAAGAGAGAGAGCCGAGTCACTCTGCAATTGCAAGTTGCAGCATTGCATTTCCGCATGCCGTCTCTCTTTGGCCTGCGATCCATGATTCAAGAACCCAGCGGCAGCAACAACTATAAACTTTCACTTTAGCAGAGCGCGAGAAGAAAGAAAGAGAGGGGGCGAGGCGAGGCGAGAAGAAAGAGACGGGGTTATAAGTTGTTGGCCAAAGGCTTCCTGGCATTGCAACTTGCAGCAGCAGCAGCAGCAACAGCAACTGCAATTGCAATCAGGTCTTAACACATTTGTTGCTGCTGCTGCTGCTGCTGCTGCTGGGTTGCTCATTATAAAGTCGTAAGCCATTTGCGTTGTGTGAGTGCGAAGCAAAATGTCAGTGAGCAATAAGGAAATGAAATGTGCGCCAAACAATTATTGTATGTTGCTGCTGCTGCTGCCGTTGCTGCTGCTGCTGGCAGCAGTTGAAATCGAAAGTGCTTTCAGACAATGGTCAACGAACGTATGGAAAGGGCATTAGAGAAGTGCTGGTGTGGGTGCAATGCAAAAAAAAAATGTGAAGAGTAAATAAATGGGTAATACGAGGCATAGGCCACATTTCCCTTTGGGCATTTTGGAATTCATGACATTGCTTCTGGTGTGAAGCTAAGCTCTGTCTGTTGGCTTGTCCGAGAAACTCTTGTCCGTAATTTCATTGTCCGTATGTTCGTTGTCCGTTTGTTCGTTGTCCGTTTGTTCATTGTCCGTTTGTTCGTTGTCCGTTTGTTCATTGTCCGTTTGTTCGATGTCCGTTTCTTCGTTGTCCGTTGACCACCGAAATATGTATTTCTTTTTACCACTCAACTTTGAACTTGTCCGTTTGTTCTTTTGTCCGTTCCACCCTTGTCCGTTAGTCCTTTGTCCGTTCAACACCCATGCTTCTTGTCCGTTTGACCACTTTGGTGCAACACTAATTGATCCTCATGTTGTTGTTGCCATTACTAGCGATTTCTGCTTTGCTTTTCCTTTGCTTTGCCGTGTTGCTGTGCTTTTTGCTCTCGACGTTGCGCAATCGCCTGTCATTGTCCATTGTTGAGTTGCTGCCGCCGCTGTGGTTGTCGCTGCTGTTGCTCTAATTCAAATTAACTTTTACCTTTCCACACACATTTTCACTCCCCCCCCCCCTTGGTCGGCCGCCTCTGTCCGGCTCTCTCTGATTGTTTCTGCCCGCTGATCGTAGAACTCCATTGTCAGAGAAAGATGGAGAGAGAGGGAGAGGGAGAGAGGGAGGGAGAGAGGGAGAGAGAGAGCAAGCAGGAAGCAACAATCTATGCTGCAACTGCAACGGCTGCTCGCTCTTTTTTGGCGGCAGGGAAAGAGCTTTTGCTCAGCAACCCCTCTCTGCACCCCCCATGACCCCCAATACCCCCTCCACCCCCATTTGTGGAAAGTGCAATGGCACAGTTTTGCTTAAAAAGAAAAGAAGAAGAAGAAGGGTGGCCGCCACGCCTCTTCACCAAATGGGAGTTGAAAGTTTGGGAGCTTTTTTGGGGGAACCGAGAAAGCTTTTCACTAATGGCAGTGCCCCTGCCCCCAGTCTCACCCCCCACCCCTTATCATAGAAACCCTCCCTTAAGCTCGCCGGTCAACGTCCACACCAATACACCCACACACCCACAACATATGCAACTTGTGTGTGAATTCTAATTTAAATGCAGTGCTTAGATAAGGGAGCAAGAGAGATGGAGCTACAAAAGGGAAAGAGAGAGAGGGAGAGAGAGAGAGAGAGAGAGGGAGAGTGAAGTTTAGTTGCAGCTAGAAGTTAGTTGCAGTTGCATTGCAATTGCAATGAACTCCAGGCGGTGGGTGGTGAAAGGGGCGTGAGTGAGTGGGAGGGAGAGAGAAAGAAAGAGAGATGGAGGCAAAAAAAAACGAGCCTAGTGGCTCTGCTGACGTCGACGTCGCTGCCAAAGCATAACTATGACGTCGCTGCTCGTCGCTGGTGAGTGAGTGTGTGTGTGTGTGAGTGTGCTTTTAGTGTTTTTTTTTGTACGTTTTGTCTATTGGTTTTCATTTTCGTTTGCTGCCGACGTCGACGCTTCTAATGCCCGATCGCGATAGACAGACAGAGCGAAAGAGAGAGGGAGAGGGCGAGAGAGAGCGAGCGGTGGAGCTGGGGAGCATTAGAGGGGGGTTTGGGGGGAGGGGGGAGTCCACGCCTGCGCCGACAGCGACGCCGGCAGCAACAGCAGCAGCGTTTCGTGGCTGCTGCTTTCTTTCGCTCGCTTACTCCTTTCATTTCACTTTATTTCGTTCGCATGTACGCACGTTGGCCGCGGAGCAACATCTCCCCGAAACAAACAAAAAACAAAAAAACAAAAAACAAAAAAAAAAAACAAAAAATTAAACAACAGCAACAACAACAACAAAACAGCGGCAGCAGCCGTCGCTCAGACGCGGAACTTGGCTCGAACTTTAGTTTAGTTTCAGTGGCCAATGGATAGTGGCTAAGTGCGGCGGTATCGGGCGAATCGGTTGAATCGGTTAAGCGGTTAAGCGGTTGTCACTTAACGGTTAAGCACGCGCCAATCCTTTTTTTTGAAGTTTCTACAAGAGTTAGTGGTACTGAAAAAAAAAAAAAACAAATAAAAAACAGCATACATAATATATGTATATGTAAAGTATAGGCAAGAATCGAAAGCCAAGAGTGGTATGTGCCCTTAGTTTTGACCCAAGACAAAGACCCAAGCTCTAAAAATAAAGACCCCTGACACCCACGACACACACACACACCACACACACACACACACCCATCCACCCACACACACACACACACACACCGTCTCATTCTCTCAATCTCAATCTCATTTCGAGGATCAGAAAAGGAGCAACATCAATCCGATTCATTATGTTCACATATATTTTTTTGGAGTGACCTAACTTTTGGCAATGGACGCAGACTTCTTCTTCTAATCCCTGAAATCCCTTCAAAAAAGATTTGGAAGAAGAAGTCCATAATAAACTCAAATGGTTGTTGTGATCGAAAGTGTTTTGTATTTTTTTTTTGTTTGTTTGAAATGTGTTTGATTGAAATCGGTGTTTGCCCAGCCAAAATGGCCCAGCATCGTTCGCTTGTCCGACTGTATCTGCCCACCTAGAGGAGATCGCCGTTGCCCAAATGAATGCCCAGCAGCCGCTGATCCTGGAGCAGCCCACCAAGGCCAGCAATGTTGTTGTTGTTGCCCCAGCAGTTGCGGCCGCTGCGGAAATAGAGGCGACAACGCGAACGGAAGCGGTAACGGAAACAAGTTCGGCCACCAACTCGGAATCCAACGCGAACTCCAACTCGAACTCCAACTCCCAGCTGAATGGTGGCTCCCATGAGGAGCAGCGGGTCATCAATGGCAACTATGGCTGCCGGCGGATCAGCCAGGCGGATCAGCAGGATCAGCCGGATCGGGATGATGAGGGCGAGCAGCAGGTCAAGGATGTGGTGGCCAATAAGCTGACCATCATCAAGACGCCGTTGAACAAGACGCTGCTCAAGAAGTGCAACACCACCAATGGCAGCCTGCAACTGCCCCATAGTGGCAACAATGGCAACAGCAACAGCAACAATAATAGTAGCCGCAACAGCAACAGCAACAACAGCAGCAACAGCAACAGCAACAACAACAACAGTGCGGCCAGCGATGACGTAGACGGCGCCTGCGATTCCGGTTTGCAAAGCGGAAATAGCAATGAACAAGAACCATTTGCCAACAACGATCGCCACCATCACATTTACCACCACCATCACCATCACTATCATCATCACCATGGCGGCGATAAGGGCGAGGCTGGTGGCGATGTTGCATCCTCCTCCTCCGCGGATCTGAGCACGCAGGTCAAGGAGGAGCCCAGCGTACTGGAAAGTGACAATCATCTGAAGGCAGGAGCAGGAGCAGGAGGAGCAGCAGTGGCAGGTACAGGAGCAGCAGCAACACCTGCCACAGAAGGAGCGGGACCTGCCACAACGGCCACTTGCAATCCCAGCAAGTGCAACAAGTGCAATTCGCACAACAACAACAGCAGCTGCAACAATAACAATAATACCATCAGCAACAACAACAACAGCAGCAACAGCAACAGCAACAATAATAATAACAATAATACAAGCAACAATACCAACAACAACAACAACAACAATAACCATTACAACAACTACAATAACTATTATAAGAAAAAGTCTCGAATGCCGCCCATTTGCCGTTAGTATTGCATCCATCTATATACTCTATACCCCCCTCTAAAATCATACTTAATCATAAATGCGTAAGAACACCACCACCACCCAAACCACCACCCATCTACCATACCAGGCACCCCTGCTACCCTCTTGGTAATCCAAAACAACCCACCCACCCCTTACTTATGAATTACCCCCCTCCTTTCTTACCAACAAAAATTTCAGTCAACTAAAAAAAGAAACAAGAAACAAAAAAGTGCACTAAACTGGAGCAACCAACAATTGGCCAAGAAAACAAGACACTGTATTTAAAAAAAGACAGACCATAACTGAACCCAAACCCCAAAAGCACCCAACCAACCCAACCAAAAACCCAAAAAACCACCCACTGGAATGCATTCTGTATCTGCATCTCTGCTCTGCAGCTCAAAAGGCAGTCTAGATGCTTCCCGAACGAGTCACAACAATACCAAAAATCCAAAAACATACAAAATCCAAATTCAAATCAAATGAAAAACAAAAAAAAAAACCACAATCAAACAAAGTACACACAAACAAATGCAAAATAAGAAAAACAACAACAGCAACAGCAAAAGCAAAAACAAAAACAACGATCGGCAAAAAGAGAATTTTTTGTTTTTATCAAAATTTGAGCAATCGGCAAAGACAAGAAAAAACGAAATTATGACATCCATAGGTAAATTTGTGACTATATCCCAAAAATCAAAATTTAAATCACAAAACACTAACTTTAGACACTTAAAAAAAAATCACGCACACATATCATATTTTGAGACCCAAACGCTCGAAGGGTTAATTTGGAGTGACGAGAATCGGGGAGATTATCCCTAAATTTTGGACTCCAAGTTGCCCTTACGAAAACCGCTTTCCCCACTCCCCAAAGCACCAGAATCAAATAATATTATACATTACACCTATCTGTCTAACCACTAACTAAAATAGTCTGCTAACGAATAATACCAATCCTAAAAATATAAATATTTCTAAGTATTACGAATACTATCTCAAAACTTTCAAAGGAATATTAAACCTCTTTATCGGTTTTAATAACTATTTTGGGCGTAATTAGAACTTGTCAAAACTTTTTGTTCGAACTTTGGTTTATTTGTCTTAATTAAATTAAATTTTCTTAAATAGAGTTTCTCAGATTACTTTCTTGGTTATCAAAGTATTTGTTTACACTTACCAAGTATTTGTTTTATATGAAATCTTAAGATTATTGAAGGTTAATCAAATGTTAAAGCTTTAGATAAGCTTTTAAAATGAACCAGTACTGGGCAAGAGCATTGATAGCTTATTGGATTTTGAAGATTCTGCTACTTAAATCTTTTCAAGTTCCATAATTTCATTACCTTCCTTTAGTGTTCATAGAAGTCACATTTCAAAGCTATCAATCATATTGAAATTGAACAAATGTTGTATTTAGGTTATCCTTATTAGCAACTCTTCGGAATTCCAGTTGATACCAGATAAAAAACTTTCCGAACTATTTACGCACACACCTTTCCAGCGTTCTTGACTCTTCGATGACTCTTTCCCAAAACTTTCTCTCCCCCGCTCATACTGCTGTTTTTTTTTTCATATATCGCCCATTCGATCATTATTTAATCGCAATATTACCTGAGTTAAGATTAGATGGGAATCTGATGGAAACTATCGTAAATTCTGGCTTGTTTTTGTTTGCCACGAATGCAGTTGCAGTCTCCGTTTGATTATGATTCTGTTGATCTGGGGAACAGGTACCTCCACCTGGGTATATCTTCTCTCCACATATGCCTGCGCGTATCTGAACTCTAGTATGTATACAGTTGCGTGTAGAAGTCGGCTCCACGCGCCCACACACACACACCCATACACCCGTACACCCACACATGGGGCGAAAAGATATAGACGCAGAGAGGCACGCATGGTTTTATTGTTTAGAATAATCTTGCGCTTGATAATGAAAATAGGTCAAATTTTAAAAATACTCACACAAACGACATTGTCGTCGGTGCTGCCGAGTGAGTCGCCCGACGAGAGAACTTTTTGCCCCGAACCCCGAAACCCCGAAACCCCGAAGCTATATAGTTTATCTCTCGGCGGCAGTGTGTGTGTGAGTGCGTAAAGAGATCGCCATTGGATAGATAGAGAAAAAGGGGGAGTTCGAATGGGCCAGGGAAAGGGGATTGATCGGGGGTACGAGAATGGGTATGGGAATGGGAATCGGAATCGGAATGGGAGATGGAAAAGTCGTTGCTGGGCCAACGCACCAAGTGACCGAATCGGTCAGATAGAGAGGGAGATAGCGAAAGGGACCGAGTTATAGAATAGAATGGGCGATCGAAAGTTCAACTATTACAACTAAACTGAAAAAAAATCTTGGTTTTCTAAGTATTATTTGACAACATTTATAGCACTATCAAATAATAATAATAATGAAGATATAATCGAATAAATAAGCCCTAACAGAAATAATATTAGCAAAAAAAATGAAAAACATTTTAAAGTTATTCTGTAGACTTTGTAAAAAGGAAACCTCTTAAGTTTTTCAAATTGCAGATTTTTTTTGTTCGGGAACCTGGCATGAAAATGTTTTTGGATTTCAAAATTAATGATCATAGCTTTATGAAATGATTAGAACACATACCTATTACAAAACATTTGGGGACAATTACCTTAATTTGAGGAAAATTTACCTTCAAAAGAGTCTACATTACTTATGTTCGTATGAATATTTTAGTGACAATGTTTTTCGATATAAAATCAACTGAACTTTTGGCATGATTTAAAAAACGAATATATAAACTATTAAAATAGTAACTTGGTTTAGAGATTACAGATTGGTATACAGATCCAGGACCTAGTAAACAATTTTGTAGCATACTTTAGGGAACCCCCTAATGGAGCATTAGGATCTTTATTTTTTGTCCGAGTAACAAATACCCCCACCAGATTATAAACCCCCTTGCAACATATATTTTTAATGCATTGCAAGCTATTGATCGTAAGGCGGAAAGATAGCACAAGAGCAACATCTACAAAAAGCGGCAACAGAGAGAGTGATAAAGAGCAACGAAGAAGCTTTGACCCATTTCGGTGACAGAGTTCTGCTTTGGGGGAAGCGATCGTCGACCATATTTCATAGCGCTCAGATCTGAGAGTGCTGATCGATCAAGCTCATGTAATTAACCGAATTCCTCATATCTTGGCTTCGTTTTTGACCAAATCTTTGAGTTTTTGCTCGCTTTAACCAGTTATTCGATGGCTTCTTGGTTTTTTTTTTTCTTTTGGCAGCTGTTGCTCAGTGGGGAAGTAAATGCAAATTAATCGGTTATTTGTTTATACTCCATCAGCAAGTCAATGCAAAAACAAAATTCGGAAAGAAAAGAAACTTCCGCAACAAATTTATGCGAACTTATGTATATATGCATGGTATTCACCCATGCGGCGTCTGAGAATTTCTCAAGCTTAGGCCGTGGATCTAAGAGTTTATTATGTTATTATTATAATTTAACATGATTTGAAACATATATTTTTTGTCATTTAAAGTAACTTGTTCTCTTGGGGGAAAAAGGTGTACGCAAGATCATAATGAGTAGCAAAACTTATCAGTTTTCAGTTCAGTAATAGTTATAGGACTGACAAAAAAAATTGGTCTACGTTAAAGTACAGGTCACGAAACATATTTTTGATGCTGATGACATAAATATTTATTATAATTTTATATTAACAAAATAAATATTGATGTACGGGGTATGGTATATCGTATGAAAATCGTTGATTCGAAGATCAAAAGAGAGTTTTTGGTTTGAAAAATTATAGGTGCGTTTCAGATATTAACGGTAGAATGACGAATGAAACCTTGTAGTGCTAAGCTCTATTTTGGAATGTATTACTGGGATCTTAGTTACGATTGCAGGCAGACAATCCCCGATATAAATTGACCAACAACCTAACCAGATCCTCGGGATCTTTTTCCCTCCTCTTATCACCCCCTAGGAATTATGACACTGAGCCGTGGCCCGTACAGCGAGCTCGATAAAATGAGCCTTTTTCAAGACCTCAAACTCAAACGGCGTAAAATCGATTCGCGATGCAGCAGTGACGGCGAGTCCATAGCGGACACGTCCACCTCATCACCGGATCTGCTGGCGCCCATGTCGCCGAAGCTCTGCGACAGCGGTTCGGCAGGGGCGGCGTCGGCAGGGGCGTCGTCCCTGCCCCTTCCGCTGGCCCTGCCCCTGCCCATGGCCCTGCCCCTGCCCCTGCCCATGTCGCTGCCTCTGCCCCTCACGGCGTCATCGTCGGCGGTCACAGTTTCGCTGGCAGCGGTCGTGGCGGCGGTGGCCGAAACGGGAGGAGGTGGGGGCGGAGGAGGAGCTGGCGGGACAGCAGTCACAGCCTCGGTAGCGGGACCCTGCGTCTCCACATCGTCAACGACGGCGGCAGCGGCCACATCCTCGACCTCCTCGCTGTCGTCCTCCTCCTCGTCATCGTCCTCCTCCACATCATCCAGCACCTCCTCCACCTCGCCGACGGCTGGAGCCTCCTCCACGGCCACCTGCCCCGCCAGCAGCAGCAGCAGCAGCAGTGGTGGCGGTGGAAAGACTGGCAGCATCAAGCAGGAGCACAACACGGAGATCCACTCGTCGAGCAGTGCGATCTCGGCGGCCGCCGCCTCAACGGTAATGTCACCGCCGCCCGCTGAGCCGGCGAGATCCAGTCCAGCCACGCCCGATGTGGGCGGACCAGCTGGCGCCGGAGGAGGAGGAGCAACAGGCGGCGGCGGTGGAGGAGGATCCGCAAGCGGCGGAGCAACGACCGGAGTGGCTATCAATGAACACCAAAACAATGGCAATGGCAGCGGAGGAAGCAGTCGAGCCTCGCCCGATTCGCTGGAGGAGAAGCCCTCGACCACGACGACAACGGGTCGTCCAACGGTCACGCCCACGAATGGAGTGCTGTCCTCCGCCTCGCCGGGCACGGGAATGGCCGGGATAACGGGTAGCAGCGCCAAGCTGAGCGAGGCGGGCATGAGTGTAATCCGCTCCGTCAAGGAGGAGCGTTTGCTTAGCGTGTCCAGCAAGATGCTGGCATTCCATCAGCAGCGGGAGCAGGAGACTAAAGCAGCGGCGGCAGCAGCAGCAGCAGCGGCGGCGGGTCATGTGACGGTTCTAGTGACGCCATCGCGGATCAAATCGGAGCCACCACCGCCGGCCTCACCCTCCTCCACATCCAGTACACAAAGGGAACGAGAAAGGGAGCGGGAGCGTGAACGAGAACGGGAAAGAGATCGGGAAAGGGAGCGGGATCGGGATCGGGAGCGAGAGCGGGAACAGTCTATCAGCTCCTCACAGCAGCATTTGAGCCGGGTTTCCGCCAGTCCACCCACTCAGCTTTCCCACGGCAGCTTGGGACCCACCATCGTCCAGACACACCATCTCCACCAGCAACTCACCCAGCCGCTGACGCTGCGCAAGAGCAGCCCTCCCACGGAGCACCTGCTCAGCCAGTCCATGCAGCATCTCACCCAGCAGCAGGCCATCCACCTGCATCACTTGCTTGGCCAGCAGCAGCAGCAGCAGGCGTCGCATCCCCAGCAGCAACAGCAACAGCAGCAGCAGCAACACTCGCCCCACTCCTTGGTGCGGGTGAAGAAGGAGCCGAATGTCGGCCAGCGACACCTGTCGCCGCACCACCAGCAACAGTCGCCGCACCTGCAACACCACCAGCAGCAACAGCAGCAGCAGCAGCAACATCTACACCAGCAACAACAGCAACAGCAGCAGCAGCAACATCACCAGCAGCAACCACAGGCTCTGGCCCTGATGCATCCCGCCTCGCTGGCGCTGAGGAACAGCAACCGGGACGCGGCCATTCTGTTCCGGGTGAAGAGCGAGGTGCACCAGCAGGTGGCCGCCGGACTGCCCCATCTGATGCAATCCGCTGGCGGGGCAGCGGCAGCTGCAGCAGCCGCAGTGGCCGCCCAGCGGATGGTCTGCTTCAGCAATGCCCGGATCAATGGAGTGAAGCCGGAGGTGATTGGCGGACCGCTGGGCAACCTGCGGCCCGTGGGCGGCAATGGAGGTGGTTCCGTGCAATGCCCCTCGCCGCATCCCTCCTCCTCGTCGTCATCCTCGCAACTGTCGCCGCAGACGCCCTCGCAGACGCCGCCCCGCGGCACGCCCACCGTCATCATGGGCGAGAGTTGCGGGGTGCGCACCATGGTATGGGGCTATGAGCCTCCGCCGCCCTCGGTGGGCCAGTCACATGGCCAGCATCCGCAGCAGCAGCAGTCGCCCCATCACCAGCCACAACAGCAGCAGCAGCAACAGCAGCAGCAGCAACAGCAGTCACAGCAGCAACAGCAGCAGCAGCAACAGCAGCAACAGTCGCTGGGCCAGCAGCAACACTGCCTGTCCTCGCCCTCGGCCGGTTCCCTAACGCCCTCCTCCTCCGGCGGGGGTTCGGTGTCGGGCGGCGGCGTGGGCGGACCACTGACGCCCTCCTCGGTGACGCCGCAGAACAACGAGGAGGCCGCCCAGTTGCTGCTCTCCCTGGGCCAGACGCGCATCCAGGACATGAGGGCCCGACCGCATCCCTTCCGCACCCCGCACGCCCTCAACATGGAGCGCCTGTGGGCGGGCGACTACTCGCAACTGCCACCCGGCCAGCTGCAGGCCCTCAATCTCAGCGCCCAGCAGCAGCAGTGGGGCAGCAGCAACTCCACGGGCCTGGGCGGCGTGGGCGGCGGCCTGGGCGGACGGACCGGACTGGAGGCACCGCACGAGCCGACCGACGAGGACGAGCAGCCACTGGTGTGCATGATCTGCGAGGACAAGGCCACCGGCCTGCATTACGGCATCATCACGTGCGAGGGGTGAGTTGTCAGTTATCAGACAAAGTACCCTTATCACAACTTTATCTCTTTACTTAAAATTTGATGAAAATATTTCAAAGTTACTTGAAAATATTATAGAAATACATATTTATTTTATAGTTATAGATTAGTTCTAAAAAATTTTTAAGGAAACATTTGAAACATTTTAGCAATACATTACTTTACATAAAACTAGGAACTATTTTGGACTACAAAAGAAAAAGGGAAAGAGGAGAAGAGCTGTGAAAAACAGTCCTTTGCTAGGATTATTAAAGCGTCATATAGATCACGGGAAGATTTAAAATTGTTAATAAAATCGAATAAATTATTAGTATAGTTACTATTGTTATCTAATGCTAATTTATAGTTAAAACTTCAAGATAAGAGAGGGTATATTGTGACGCTATAGAAAAAAAGCCTTCAATTCGCCAAACCGTAAAAACTTTAATTTATGAAGTAGCGATCTTATTAAAATCAATGAAAAGCTCTAAAACTAGAACCAGAACAGAGAGAATCGGAATTAAGAAAAAAGATTTGAAAATAATAATATTACTGTCCTCATATCGAGTTCAGGATATGCACTTGCCAAGGTGTTTTAGTGTTTCATAACCACCCACTTCCCAAATACAACCAATCCTAATCCTTGACTCCTCCACTCCGCCAGGTGCAAGGGCTTCTTCAAGCGGACGGTGCAAAACCGACGCGTCTACACCTGCGTTGCGGATGGCACCTGCGAGATAACCAAAGCACAGCGCAACCGTTGTCAGTATTGTCGATTTAAGAAGTGCATCGAGCAGGGCATGGTGCTGCAGGGTGAGTACCCACCACTTGGTGATCCCTTCCAGATTCGGCCGTTTCCTAACCAGGACATCTCCTTGCAGCCGTTCGCGAGGATCGCATGCCGGGCGGTCGAAACAGCGGCGCCGTCTACAATCTGTACAAGGTGAAGTACAAGAAGCACAAGAAGACCAATCAGAAGCAGCAGCAGGCCGCCCAGCAGCAACAGCAGCAGGCGGCGCAGCAGCAGCAGCACCAGCAGCAGCAACACCAGCAGCAACAGCACCAGCAACACCAGCAGCAGCAGCAGTTGCACTCGCCGCTGCACCACCACCACCACCAGGGTCACCAGGCGCACCACGGTCAGCAGCAGCACCACCCACAGCTGTCGCCGCACCACCTGTTGTCGCCGCAGCAGCAGCAACTTGCCGCAGCGGTGGCAGCAGCCGCCCAGCACCAACAGCAACAGCAGCAGCAGCAGCAACAACAGCAGCAGGCCAAGCTTATGGGCGGCGGGGTGGAAATGAAGCCCATGTTCCTGGGTCCCGTGCTCAAGCCGGAGCTGCTCCAGGCACCGCCCATGCACAGTCCGGCCCAGCAGCAGCAGCAACAGCAACAGCAGGCCTCACCGCACCTCTCCCTTAGCTCGCCGCACCAGCAACAGCAGCAGGGTCAGCACCAGAATCACCACCAGCAATCAGGCGGAGGAGGTGGAGGAGGAGGAGGCGGCGGCGGCGGCGGAGGAGGAGGAGCCCAACTGCCACCGCATTTGGTGAACGGCACCATACTAAAAACTGCACTGACCAATCCCAGCGAGATTGTGCATCTGCGCCATCGCCTCGACTCGGCGGTCAGCTCGTCCAAGGACCGGCAGATCTCGTACGAGCACGCCCTGGCCATGATCCAGACCCTGATCGATTGCGACGCCATGGAGGACATTGCCACGCTGCCGCACTTCAGCGAGTTCCTCGAGGACAAGTCGGAGATCAGCGAGAAGCTGTGCAACATCGGCGACTCGATTGTCCACAAGCTGGTGTCGTGGACCAAGAAGCTGCCCTTCTACCTGGAGATCCCGGTGGAGATACACACCAAGCTGCTGACGGACAAGTGGCACGAGATACTCATCCTGACCACGGCCGCCTACCAGGCGTTGCACGGCAAGCGCCGTGGCGAGGGTGCGGGATCGGGCAGCAGGCACAATTCGCCGGCATCAACGCCACTGGCCACGCCCACTGGGACGCCGTTGAGCACGCCCATACCATCGCCCGCCCAGCCGCTGCACAAGGATGATCCGGAGTTTGTCAGCGAGGTGAACTCGCACCTGAGCACACTGCAGACCTGCCTGACCACGCTGATGGGCCAGCCGATCGCAATGGAGCAGCTGAAGCTGGACGTTGGCCACATGGTGGACAAGATGACCCAGATCACGATCATGTTCCGGCGCATCAAGCTCAAGATGGAGGAGTACGTCTGCCTGAAGGTGTACATACTGCTGAACAAAGGTACGTGGTTCGATTTGCCCTTGCGCATGCATACAGTGCTCATGTTACCCTTTTCGTTTCGTTTTGTAACTTCAGCAGAAGTGGAACTGGAGAGCATCCAGGAGCGGTACGTCCAGGTGCTGCGCTCCTACCTGCAGAACTCCTCGCCGCAGAATCCGCAGGCGAGGCTCAGCGAGCTGCTCTCCCACATACCAGAGGTAAGTAATAGCTCTCTCTGCCGCCACACAAACAGTGTACCACATCGATTGGCTGCCCTGCCAACTAATTGAAAACTACTACGACTCACTTCTCTAAAGCCGTATATATATGAACATTTTGGAGATCCTCGTTCCCGAGGAGTATCCTTGTATCCTCTATGATTCACCCCCCCTCTCCCTTACCCTCTTGCAGATCCAGGCTGCGGCCAGTCTGCTGCTCGAGAGCAAGATGTTCTATGTGCCCTTCGTGCTCAACTCGGCGAGCATAAGGTAGCAGATGCTTGAGCACGGCCTGCTGCCCACCGCCAACCACCAGCCGGCGCCGCTCGGACCAGGTCCTGATCCGGTCCTCCCGGAGCGGCAGCAGCAGCAGCAACAGGAGCGGCGCCGGAGCAGGCAGCAGCAGCACCAGTTGCTGCGCGACCTGCCCAAGATCAAGATCGAGATCGGGGCCCAGCGCGAACCGGATCAGGAACAGCAGGAGCAGCAGGAGGAGCCGGAACAGGGGGAGCAGCTGGAACAGCTGGAACAGCGGGAGCAGGAGCAGGAGGAGCGGTCCCGATCCACGTCCATTTTGAAGACTTCGCTGCTGAGCGGAGCGGCGGCCACATTGGCCACCCTGACGGCGGCTGCCGAGCAAATAGCCCGCTCCTCGGCCAGCAGCGACACTGCCAGGGACTATTCCCACAGCAGCAGCAACAGCAGCAGCAGCAACAGCATCTGCAACAGCGGCAGGACGGGCAGCAGCAGCAAGAACAGTTTAGAAGAGAGCAAAAGACTTGAGCATCAACAACAACAGCAACCACAACAGCATCAGCAGCAACAACAACAATATACATCAATACTACACACGGCCTTAATGTCACAGCGTTCCATGCCAGCAGCAACATCGGCTACAGCAGCAGCAGCAACAACAACGACGGCGACGACAGCAGCAACCACATCGCCCACGCCTGCGCATGTGCTGAAAACCGCGGTGACCTTAGCCAGTCTAAGTGAGATAGCCACTGCACGCCAGAAGCAGCAACAGCAGCAGCAGCAATTACTGGCGTTGCAGCAGCAGCAACAGCAACAGAAACTGCCCAGAAGGATAATCAACTTTGGCAGCAACTACGCTGCCAACACTGCCACCAAAGGATTGGGAGCGGGAGCAGGAGCAGCAGAAGGAGTGGGCATGGCCACAGCAACAGCAGCAGCAGCAGCAGCAGCAACGGCAACAGCAACACTTGGACGCAATCGCCAACTGGGCCTGAGTCAGGGCCAAGTGGCGAATGGTAAGCAGAAAGAATTGTGAGCCTTGTGTTTGCGATAACGTTTGTGTACCCCCTCCCCCTCAATTAACGCTGCCAGCGAGGACAGCGCGTCTGCTCAACGGCAACTGTTGCGGCCGACTGTTGCAGGCGACAGCAGCAACAGGGGCCAGTAGGGGCACCAATACGGGTGCTGCCGGCAGCAACACGGTTAATATGGAGACCCAGACTAGCGATGAGTTGCTGCCGCTGCTAGCCATGCCCCCACAAGCAGCTCCCGCAACAACATCATCATCAACAACAACAGCAGCAGCAGCAGCATCATTATCATTATCAGCCACATCAACATCATCATCATCATCACTATCAACGATTTCATTAGCAACACGTGCAGCAGCAGCAGCAATGCAGCAGCAGCAGCAACAATGGACTGCCGTGTCGACGACGCCAGCAACAGGAGTGATGATGACGACGACGACGACACAATCACAAGCAACATTAGCACCACAACAACAGCAACAACCACTGCCACAACAAAAACAACAATTAAACAGAAAAACAACAGCAACCACCACAACAACAGCACCAACAACACACAACAGCAACAGCAACATCAACTTCAACAGCAACAATAACTATATGAATAACAATAATATTAACGCCGACACTGCCAGAGTCTCTGCCTCTGCCTTCGCCTCCGCCCCTGCCTCTGCAACAGCCACGCCCACTGCCAGAATACCGCGCCAGCGGCCGATCCCGCCCCCGGCCCCGCGCACACCCACAGCCACCTCAGCTTCTGTTACTGTAGTTGTGTTCAAAACAATGTTACCTGATGACTGAATTATTTTAGAATCGTACACGTAGAGCATGTTTTATTATGATTACCACTATGATTACCACTTACGAATTACAATTACGATTATGATTACGATTATGAATATGAGTATGTCTGGATATCATTACCTATTAACTATTCATTAGTTATGGCTTATCGATTATTACTATTATTACTATTACTATTGCTACATGCATAATGTAGAGCCTAATTGATCTATCGTGTATTTTAGTTTGTCTAATTGTTGGATCCCTGTACTATATCCCACACACACATAAACACACACACACACACTCGCCCATATTTGATCCTCACCCCCACACACACACACACACATTATCATTACTAAGGAAGGATATGCATATGCAAAGTTGAAACATTTTAATCTTGTAATCCTTTTGTGTTTTTTGCTGAAAGGAGATGAACGATAAGGAGGAAAAGCTACAGCAATTCGGAGTGTTAAATGAATAGGATTATGTAGAGAGTATGTAGCGAGTATGTAACGAGTATGTAATGAGTATGTAAAGTTTACGTAGCCACAATGCCACTTACAGCTATAGCAAGCATTTAGGATGCGTGCATATGTCAGTTATCTATTTTTTTTTTTATTAAAATCTATATAATGTAATGAGAGATGGAGGAGGAGGAGCAGAAGGAGAGCGAAGCAGGGCGGGAGATTCAACCACATAAAGTATAAATAGTAGAGTCCAAGTAGCTAGTTTAGTGTACATCCGTTTTGGGGCAGAGGAGTAGAGCAATTTTGTCACTGAGAAAGGGGGTGGTGGGGTGAGCGGAAACGTAAACGGAAACGGAAGTTGGGACAAAACGGAAACGGAAACGGAAATGGAAGCGGAAGCGGAAACTGGACTGCCAGATCGGAATCACGCATCAACCATTAAGAAAACTTCGCTCGCAACTATTGCAGAATTATACTGTTAGATACTGTTAATTATCGAACCCAAAACCCCAAAAACCCCCAAACCCCAACCCCGACCCACACACACACACACACACTATACCTAAGTTAAGAACGCATAATCACATACTACACATAAATTACGCATAGTACATACAAGAAACAGAAATAAGGAAAAGAAAAAAACAAAGATAAGAAATGAAACGAAAGGATTATTTTTTTTTTGTGTAAGCCCGATTGCGCAATTGTATATCGTAATCGTGTTGTCGTCGCAACCCCAAACGCCTATCGCCCATGGCGGTATTGATGCCCGGATTGTTATCGATATCGTCGTACTACGTTTTATTTTGTAAATGTATTAATTTTGTTGATTTTTTTGCTGTCTGTATACATTTTTTTTAACAACATTTTTGAATAAATGTAATTCTTGAATATGCTTTATGTTTCTTATTTATTTTTGTACCCCACTTTGTGCTCCAGAACTTTTCAGTTTCAATTGGTTTGTATATAGAGAAGTCCTTTCATTTTTTTAAGGTCACAAAAGAATACTTTTACATTTTTCCGACACCAAAAACGTTTAATTGTTAATGGCTTTAGTAGATCAACTTTTTTTTTTTAAGAACTTAATATAGAAGTGAATATAAACTCGCCCCGAACTATATTTCTACACAAATTTTACGCGGTTCTGTTATTCTACTTGGAAATTCCTCAGTGGCGCCACCTGCATTTAGAGGCCCGAAAATGTATGCACCGGAAATGGCAAATTGGTTTTTAAATCAGCTTGAAAGGAAATCGAACGGGTCACTTGTGAATGGCGCAAACCGATCACAAGGACCTCAATCCCCAATCCTGTAACTCAAACCCTCCCGATTCAAGCTCTTTCAAATAATTAACGCAACCTAGAGCTAAGAGCGGAAAACGGAAATAGAGAAAGTAAGCTAAACAAAAAACAAAACAAAAAACAACACGAAAACAATGTTTTTCGAATAAAAGCGAAGAACAGAAGATGAGAAATAAGCAAGAGTCTGACATCAAATTGCCTTCAAAGCGTTATTTTCGATTTTTTTTCCGTAGAGTTTTTTTACGAGAGAACGATGCAAAAATCAATACGAAATACCAAATAGCAAGCAAATATTTAAAGTACGTATATATGTGGATTTATATAAGCGATGACATAATAATCATATGAATATGGAAAAAGAAAACGAAAAAGAAAAACGGCAACGGACGGACGGCAAAAAGATTAACATTTTTTGTAGAGTAAAAGCGGGATAAACAGCATCTGGAGGGAAAGAGTCAAAATAAAATATTTTTGCACAGAGTGTTATCGAATAAGTGTTAGACTTTAAACGTAACTGTAATCGAGATTCAAATCAATCAATGAACACCCCCATCCCCATCCTACCCTCCATCCTTACCCTCCTTTCCCAGGCCATCCTTGGTAGCCATCATCGTTCCAGCCCTTTAACCCGCCCATTTGATTATAAAGGCTGGGGTCAGATGGAGGATTGCTCCCGCAGGAAAACAAGAAGTGTCTTTGTAAATACATGAGAATAAAGAGTGGGATTGAGGGGGGTTTTGCAAGCCCCCAACCCAACCCAACCATCTGGCGTCTCGAGATATAACATTAGTTAGCTAATTTTAACGACTTACACTCCCGGATCAACCAAATGCCGTCACCTAACCAACTACGCCTCGCCGTAGTTAAAACTGTTGTACCCCCAAAATCACTTAAATGCTCAACTCCATCACTTGACCCATCACTCACCCTCACTCCCACCCGCATCCAACTCACTCCGCTTGCCTAGATCCATTTGCATCCCGGGCAGAACCAGTAACCCGTGTCCACCATGTCCCCATAGTGTATAGCGGGGATGCAATATGAACTTCTTATGGTGCTTAATCTGGATCTTGATCTTGAGGACAACCCAAGCCTACAACTCAAATTATGGGACTGATGCAATGAAACAAAAAGAAAATGAAAACAAATAACAAAAAAAATTATAGAAAAAAAACAAGGGAGGAAATCTTAACCCATATATGTATACTAGGTGTATATGTGTATTGATTAAACGATTCAATAATTAAAACGAAGTAGATCCTTCCATATGATAAAAACCAAAACAAAAAAAAATGAAAAAAAAAAACAAGAGTAAACTCTAGGAAGAGATCTCGCTTCTGAGGCCATTGTTATACTCTTTGAATTTGTGTATGACCCAAATTAGAAAATTGTGAAACCAAATCCAAAGAAAGCCGATGACACATAACGAAACGCCGTGGAAATTATAGAAATACTGTTTTTTTGTGCATTTCTAATTCTACATAGCGGTCGCCAGCGACTTTTACCTTTTATATAAGTATATACAATGTGGTTTTCGTTTCGTTTTGGATTTGATATGAATGTTACGCGATGGATTGATATTGATATTGATTGATTGATTAGTGAACGTTTGATGTAGTGGTAACCAAAAAGTATAATTTAACTGATACATTGATGTAATGCATAAGAGATGGAAACACAAACGGCAACAGAACCGCAAAATGATAATGAAATGAATATGAAATGACATGTTAGCAAATATAAAACAGATAACTAAGACGAACTAAGCCCATAATTGAGAATTTTTAAAGCACGATTCGAGATCACATATAAATTTAATAAATTACACATGTATTAATAATGAAATGATGTATTTACGAATAAAATTAATATTATCACATGAATCATAAATGGCCGACCAGTCTATTTAAAAAGATCGGATGGAAACTGGGACTCCATCACGATTTTGAAGGGCTTTCTGGCCACAAACTCGTCCTTGTCGACCTGAATGAAATCGCTGCAAGAGTCGAGCATTAGAAAAGGGTTGGGATGGGGTTTTTCCGAGCATAGTACTTACTCCTCGTTGGCCAGGGTCACGTTGATGCGATCGGTGGATACCCGTGTGGGTCGGATGGCCCCAAAGAAGTCTGTGATGGGCACCTTGTGCGGGTCTCGGCGGTACAGATCCTTGCGCACACCCACCGTCGAGATGCACACCCGCTTGGGGCAAACTTGCAGCTGTTTGGAAAGTGTATAATCAGAAACATGTTCGAAAATCTCAGGAGGAGACCTACAAATTCCCCAATGGTCCGCTTGCTGAATGGCTGCACCTTCTCTAGGAACTCCAAAGCGTAGTATGTGTAGCGGTCGATCATGTAGACGCCAATCGAGGGATCCACATGGTGCTGGATTGGAAATGGAAGTGAAGTATAGGTAGGTATACATTGCAGACTTCAGAGCGTCTTACCGATAGGGAATCCTCGCCCACTAGGCTACTGGCCACCGCCAGGACATTCGGTGAGGTGAATTTCTCGTATAACGAAGCCGCTTGGCAAGTGTCCACCATGAAGAACAGCTCATTGTAACTACAAAAGTAGACGAATTATTAGGACTAGAACAGGGAATAGCATAGGTAAGTGTCGTACCGCTTCTTCTCCCACATCTGCTGGATGCCGTCGGCCAGCTCCTGGCTGGTAATCTCCTCCGAGTCCTGGAACTTGAGGAAACCATCGCCGCCGTGTCCGGTAAGGTAGATAAGCACATTGCTGCCCGCGTCTGAGAGCAGCTTCTTGGACCGCGCAGTGCCGTTCTGGGTTCGCCCGGTTAGCAGTCGCACGAAGTTCTCCACGGTCACTTCGTAGCCCCGATAGTCCACCTCCACATCGTCCCCGTACACATTGATGTGCTGGTTGGCGTTGTTGTACACCTGGCCAGGACGCGGATTGCGGGCGTTGCAGGCCATGTCGTCGGCTATCATCAGAATGATCTGGGAGTCGGGAATGCCCAGTCGCTTGACAGATCGGTAGATGGAGAGGACGTTGGCCACATGCCGGTAGTTGAACCAGAATCTCGAGGCGTCCACCAGCACCGCCCAGTTGTTCGTATGCGTTGACCGCTGGCTGGCGTCCACGAAGCCCTCTGGCAGCACCGAGGTGTCCTCCGCCTCCGCTTCAGCCCGACAGCTGGCCAGGAGCAGGACCAGGATAACAACGAATTTAATAAACATCTCGCAGCCGAATGTTAATCACCTATGTATATCGATAGGCCCATAACAACTCCTCCCGATATCGACTGCACTGCTCGATAGGCCGAAAACAGCTGTGAGGTGTGACCGCGCTTAAAAATATACTACGTATACCATTTCCGAGCATACCATGCAAATAATATAAAAAAAATTATAAAATGAAAACGTATAAAAGTTTTAAAGACAAGGACATATAGTTAATTGGTTCAAGTCACTAATTGTCAATAGTTTAATCATTTTTTTTACACTTCCAAGTATAAATTCACGGAAGTCTATAGAGCTATATTTATATATAAGATAATGATTCATATTATTTAAGTATTTTAAATATTTATTTGTGAATTAAATAAAATACGTTTTCAGAAAAGTAAAAACAATGATAGCATCAAAAACTATTAAACTATTGCAAATGT